CCCAGTTCTATTATATATAACAGAGAAAAAGTATGGCAAAATGACAGCCCCAGATTTTTACATTTTTTAACTCGGGATCTTGAAACATCAAGAAATGCAAAAAAATTGGGGTTTTTCTTCTTATGTATGGAAGTTAGTGTATGTGTGGAGAGGACACAATTTTGGTCATTCTCTTTGAAGCTTAACTCCATGCTTTTTGTCAAAAATTTCTGAAATTTTTCAGAAAGGTTTGTTTATTAGGGGAATTGATGCTATTAAATTTTGGTGATTAAAGGTCAAGGGGGTGCGGAGATAAAGGGGATCGTGTGTCATATCTCCAGTAGGATTGGACTTAATGGCAATTTTACTTGTTATTAGCATTTACTATTTTTAATAAAACTCATCCCTACACTCAAAATGAAGCTTTTTATCATTTTATAATAATTGAAAATATAAAAAGTTTTTAATAATAAAATATCTTAACAGATGGCGTCACAAACGTTTAATAGAGAGTCAACAATGAGTGGTCATACCGATAGCTGCAGCCATATCTTTTCCAAAGTCATTTAACTGTAATTTTCTTGATGTTTAGCATCATCCGTTAATCCCTTAATTGATGCTTTTAAATCGATTTTATTTTGATTTTATTTTACATTTATGGATATTACAAATGTTTATGATTTCACTCGATGGCTTATCCGTTTCTTTCATAAATTCTTTCAATTTGTTTTTAAGATCCACGACTGGTTTCACGTCATTTTCTGATTTCTTTGCATCTATTTCTGTATCATAAATGCGACCATATGCCGTCTGTAAGCATTTATCTTCGGATTTATGGTGCGTGACGTGGATTTTTCTCTGGAGAATTTATTTTCTGAAAACACCCACTCGTTCGTACATGCAATTTATAAAATCTTCTATTATTAACAACCGTAACTTTATTGGTCCTATCGCAGTTAAGAAATTTAATTGCAATTCTGCAGAAGGGATTTCTGAATCATCAAATGAGAGGCAACCGATTGGTTTTGTTGTATGATCTGAATCTCGGAATCTTAACTTTTCTCGGATTCTCTTCTGACTTTCTTTTAAGAAGCGAAATTTTGATAATAGGTAGTAAATTATACTACAATAATCATCTCTAATACACATCTAAATGGGAGATGTGTAAAAAAATTCAATCGTTTAATCTATAATCATCATATTTTCTCGTTAACTTAACGCAAGAATTTCACTTTTCAACAATTCAACAATAAAAAATTGTTATGTCATAAACCTCATTCGTACTATTGTTAACATTATAAATTTTTTTAAACTGCAAATTTTTAAAATTATTTGTAAAATGCTTTAAAAATATATTCCATAAATCCAAAAGAAATTATTTTTATCTTTAGATCTTAATCTATTTAATGTACTGTTTAAAATTTATTTAGTGAATAAATGAGAACTTTTTTTTGTAGAATAAAGCTAGTAAAATCAGTTTCTTATTTAAATTTACGAAATAATTTCAACGAATTTATTTTTTTCTATATAATGTGGGTGTACACTAGAAGTGGAGTGGAACTGGCCACTTACTGGTAGTGAGTTCGCACCTCACTAACGTGTTGGTCATGTGAGTTTTCCTGGTTTTTTCACGTGTCTAACACCTAAACGGGGCCATTTTTGCACAGAAAGTTCTTTGCGAGTCACTCCCTGTTTCAGATTGCCACGTGTTGCATTGCCTTATCTAATCAATCCAATCTATGGATTGATTAGATAAGACATTTATATATACAGTAGAGCGTCGATTATCCGAATCAATTGGGGACTGGGGTTATTCGGAAGATCGACGTTTCGGATAACCGATTGTGTACGAAAAAATATATTAATTTATCCCATCTTGACATTTTTCTCCGTTGCGTGTCGCTTCGCGTTGAATTTTCGTCGATGTTAAGCCTAACAAAGACTATTGTATCGTTAAAAATTATTTTTTTATTTTGTACAAACAAAATAAATATATTGAAAAATATAAAACAAATAAAAAAATTATACTTCAGAAGTTAATTTAGTATCAAAGACGTAAAATATTTCAGTAGCCCAAGACATAGCCAAAGATTGCAGCGCCACAGCACTGGCAAAAATTTAAATTTGCCGACTGGAATTCTTTCGGATAATTGACGTTTCGGATGATTGACTTTCGGATAATCGACGCTTTACTGTATATATATATATAAGTTGAATATATAGTAGTCTATATAAATGCATAAAAAGTCAATTCGTTGAAATTATTTGTTCCGTTTTCTGAAACTAATTAATAAGAACACGTTAACAGTAACAATAGAAGATAAATGAAATTAAGACATAAAAAAATTACATAAACAGTCTTAGTTGAGATTGTGATCTTGTGATTTTTTTTTATTTCGTTATTATTGCATGAAAATATCTAGCATACATAATAGCAAAAAAGCTCCTTTTGACAGAATCGTGCATACAAAGCACAAAAGACAGAAAGTTTTTGTTTCTAATAGGATAATTCAGGATAACACCATTTCAAACGTGGTGTTCTGAAACCTAAAAATATGTTTTTAATGTTTTTGAATTAGCGTCAAAACAAAATAATAATGATTTCTTTGTTTGTTATTTTCCTTTACAAACAAAACAAATTATCATATTCCCCTACACGGTATCTAAACTGAGAACACTTTCTCCTTTGGCTACCATATGACAATTATAAACAACTCATATTCAGACATCTTTTCATTTTAGATTACATCTGCAGATTAATCCTAAATAGGTGACAAGCAAATTGGCGTAGAGTCGAAACGAATATTAAAACTCGATGGGAATTTTATCGTGCTTACTAACGCACCAAACTTTCAATATTTATTAAAATCAAATGTAATAACATAAGAACATTGAAATTACCGCGAAGATAACACGTTCCTGATGTAAAATGAACAAGATGATTGAACTTCGAGATGTGTTCACTCGAGCAAAACAACCTGTCAGAAGTGGGGTTCGAACCCACGCCCTCATACGAGGACCAGAGCTTAAATCTGGCGCCTTAGACCGCTCGGCCATTCTGACACGACGGAATGCTCAGTTTCGAAACGCTTCTTTATCAATTCAAAAAGCAATCGTTACCGATTTCGTCATTCTCATCTTCGATCGAATATTTTAAACCCCTGCGGAGATGCGAAATCGTTAAGTAGAGGAACAACGCCTAGCGAGCGAGTGAGCACGCGTGATAAGTGTTATCGTGTTTCCTGCGTGATTACGCATCAAATTTTTAAAGCTTGATTGCAGTGATGTTTCATAAGTTTAAAAAAGAATTTATGCAGTGGCCGGAGCTAATCACACGTGTGAGCTGGTAAACAGAGCATAATGATCCGGTATTCTCGTGCAAGTCTAATTGCGTCTATATTTTTGACGTGCGTGGTATGGCTATCTAGGATAAGAAGCACTCGCTTTTCTCGTGCATTTTTCCAGTACATATTATAACTATTCCGGCCCGAGCAAACTCAGCGCCCTAGGCAAATGACTTTGATGTCGCCCCATTTTAAAAAAAATCGCAACAATATAAAGGGTTTTATATTGTTATATTGTTTTTATTCAATATGCAGCACGCAATATCGCGATCGTGAGACTACGGCGCTACTTTCAAAATGACGACTCGCGGGTCAATACGTGAGAAAGGATTGTGATCAAAAAAACATTTATTTTTTCATTATTTATTGTAATTTATGCATGTACTTTCGCCATGTCGCCTACCCCCGAATTCAAGCGCCCTAGGCCATCGCCTAGTTCGCCTATATGAACTGTCTAAACTGAGAAAGTGTTCTCAGTTTAGATACCGTGTAGGGGAATAGGCCCTGTCTATAATGTATAAAATATAGCCTATAACTTATACAGGTTTATATCGTATATGTTACTTATGTTTGCAATTGCATAATTATTTTTTTAAGTTTCATGCAATCAAATAATTAAAATATATAAATAAATAAATATATAGTCTATATATTTATAGAATATTAAATGTATTCTACTGTGAGGTGTATTTATAAAACAACTTAATTCCCTCAACAATGTACATCATACTTATATAGTATTATTATTATTATTTATTAAACTAAAATAATAATTTATTATAAGTGGTTTATGAACAACTGTTCTAAAAGACATAAATGCCAACGCGTTGTGCCCATTTTTAAAGTGCGACCACACGAAATACGCGTTGTAGATAGATCTGAGAAGTCAAAACGCGTTGTGGTAGGTTTTTTTCGCTCAATGTGCATTTCCGGTCTTTGATTCTAACAGCCAGGAAAGTAAGAAGAATAATGTAAATCAACTAAAGAATGATAATCAAATTTTAAATATAATTTTACTTAATCTTTAACTATTATTGAACAACATTTTAAACTAAACATTTTTTTTAATACGCTATTAATATTTTTGTATTCGAAAAGGGTTTGTTTGATTAAAAAGAGCAATTTTTCATCCTTACTGCCGATCGGTATTTGTATATAGTATGAAGTATACGGAATCTATTAGTATTATACTTATTTTTTATTATAAAAATGTATGTTTATTTATTCGAATTACGCGTTAGCAAACTGTTACTTAATTTGGTAAATGTTCACTTAAAAAAATTAATTTGTAATTTTATTTTTATGTGATAATTTATATAGTAAAGTGTTTCATGAGTTTAATAAAATATATAATAAAATTACTCTAGAATTTTATTATGTATCCATTAAATGACATTTATTTCTTTTAAGTTCTGCTTCGTTTCCCATTTTCGTAGTTACACCATATTTTAAAATTGCAATTTTTCTGTTTAAAAAAATTTATTCGAATTAGAAAGAAGTAAATTTTAATCAAGTTTATATTATATTAAGTTATATATATATTTAAGTGTAAATTATAAAATGCCATCTGTTGAGGAGAAGATTGAAAAGATCCCTTCTTCTTCTCCACACAATATATTCAGCTAACAAATTATACTTAATATATATATTTATATTTAAAAATTAAACATAGAAAAATAACAGTTGATTAAGTTAATTTAATTAAATATTAAATTAATCTCAGAATGGTCGAATCTTCCTTTACAGATATATGATGTGTGATAAATTATACCTTTAACTATTTCAAACAAGCAGAGAAATGAAACATTTTATCTTAAATCTTTCTTATTTTGTTGTAATGAAAAAAAAATGATAATATAGTGTATTTAAAGGAGGCATTTTTTTCTGTTTAAATTAATTTTCCCGATCAGTCGACCTCTAAAACTGGATTAAACATTCATTGACTTCTAGGGGAATTCACATTATATAAATGATAGAAATGTCTCCTTATTCTTTCTTATTTTACCTAAAAACATACAACCAAACTGTTTTATTTAGGAAATTATTAAATTATATATTTTTAACTTAAAATATTAAGTTTAAATACTACTTTTGAACAAAACTTTTATTTATTAACAATACATGGAAGGTAGCCATTATTTTTATAATTTTATGCTTTAAGTGTTTACTACAATAGCCTTGAGTGCTACTATATTACTTTAGGTTTTAATGTAAAAATAACTTCTGATATATTCTAACTAAATGCTTTTATTATTCATAATATTATATATAACCTATATAGAGTATACTCACTTATTAACATTCATAATTTAAACTCTTTAACTTGGGAAAAAATAAGTTCTCCTGAAATAAAAATAATGTAAATAAATATTTTATATTCTGATATAAAATTAATTAAGGAAAACAAATATTAATAAATAAATAAAACAATTTTTAAGTTTAAAATTTACATACTCTTGCGGAGGATCTGTGCAGAGCAATTTGCACGCCCAATGGCAAACTTTAGGAATGGGACAATATGTTCTACAGGCCCAACTGCAAAGACCACTTTCTACTTCCAAAACAGTAAAAGCTAATACGATAAATAAACTCAAAATTAAGAGTTTCATGTCTGAAAGTAAAGAAGTAATAATAATAAGATTAATTTTAATTTTGATAATTAAAACAGAATTACAGTACTTACTTGCAATGTTTTTCGACGTTGGCCCGAAAGAAATGATTCCGAATTATGTTTAAATTTATAAGCAAATTCTTATATTATTAATAGATAATATGCTGATAGCAATAAATTTCTCGTGAGAAACAGCATTATGGTTAGATAATATCACAAATATATTAAATTTTATCAGATATTTTTATTACAGTTAAAATAATTAATAGTTATATCTACATTTTATATAAACATACTTTCATAACCATGTATTTTCTTAATGAAAACTCCCCAAAATAAAAGTCTTCAAATTTTTTTATTGACGATTTTTATAAATATTTTAAAATTTCGAAGACGTTCGTGTTAAAACGATACAATAATTTAATTAGCCACGTAATTTTGAAGCATTGAACGTAACAAATTTCATTTATCTATATTTAAAAAAGAAGGGAAACAATTACTTGCATCAAAATAAACAAATATTTTAGAATAAAATTACATAATTTTAAATTATGAATGAAGACTGATATCTGTTTTACATTTCCAATAATAACTAAGTTTAAGAGTGCAGTGAATTTATTTATTTAAGCATAACTAAGACCTGCGAGTAACGAGAAAGAACCAAGCTAAACATAAATATGGGGCTTGATCCTTATTGAAATCCACAAATTCAATAAAACAATTAAAAACAGATTTTTTTCACCAGTTATAAAGCGAATCTTTATCACATTTTTTACGCAAATGGCTAAACTTTAGAATTTCTTTGTGTTTGGTACCAAACGACGGTGCTAAAACCTTTCTATATGTGTGTATATAAATTGCAAAGGCTGTATTAAAATTACATAAGATTTGTGTATAAACGACCTATAGGTATATACTCTATATCTTACATAAAGATACGTACGTACGATTTACATAAGCACGCGTAAGAAGTATGAGGTATATGAGAATCACCTCATACGTTTGTATGAGGTGATGTGTTCACGTTTGTATGTGTTTAGTTTAAATTACTTCGGGTTAGAATGCAATAATTTTTTAAATAGTTACTTTTATAGCAGTCTATATAAACACAAATCATATTTTGCGGGTTTGCGCCTAACTAACAGGCAGGCAACGTGGACTTTTCTGGGTTTTCTTCACGTTAGTAACACCTAAATAGGAACCAATTTCCTATAAAAGGCTCTCCGGGAGGCATTCTCCCTCTGCAGATCGGCCACGTGTCGCGTTGCCGTATAAGAATACAATGAAACCATTCTAAGTAAACGTAACTGTATTATTAATATAATAAATGAAATATATTCAGTAGAGTGTGGCTCTTACGACCGAATTGGATCATGGAAATTTGTCGTAAAGCGAGTCGTACTATTCCAATAAGGTCAATATTATAATCGAGCTTATGTTCCCGAAAAAAATATATAAAAGAACAAAAACATGATAAAAAATTATGACACTTGAATACACATTTCAAAGTCATAATTGACGTATAGTCCCTATTAGTCGTAAAGTAGAGGTTGTTGTCATAAAAATTTGGTTTATTGTCTACAAGCGGTGTTCAGTAATTACTGTATGCATCCAATTTAATCGAGTCACTTTTTCTTTCTCTGCGAAAAGAAAAATTATAATAATTATTATAAACACAAATTTAATATTTTTATTTATACAGTGTACATATGTATGATGTAAACTCATTTATCTGTTTCTTTGGAATCCATCAAAAGTTTAGCAGTTACACGACTACAAATTTTTAAAATATTAAAAAGTAATTTAAAGATAAGTATTCAATCTTTGTATGAAATTTTTCTGTAAGGCAATTGATAACAAATAACCATATGTTGACGATTTTTACTAGAGTATTCAATAAAATGGTAACTATTTCAATTGTTTTTTTACATTGATATGGAACAAAATTTGGTCCACGTACTCTTAGTTTATTAATTAAATGTATGTCGGTTGACAATATAAAGTAAGATGGCATTAACAATTTTTATAATTAAGATCTTCAACAGAGTATTCCTCGATCCTTTGTACAGATCGCAATGATCAACGGACCAAGAAAATTTTATTAATTTATCTATAAATGAGTAAACCTATGTATTTTCTACTATTTGAATATGATCAGTGACAAGCATTTGGCTTTTTAAATATATTTTTTAAATTATAATAGACTATACAATATTAAAAATGAATGATTTTTGGTCTCAATAAAATATTCTCGAGCATCTTGGACACTTGGAAAAATGATAAAACGAAGAAACTTTATTTAAAAAAAACGTGTAAAGATATACAGAAAACAATGAAAACAGGGACTCGAATTAGAAATAGAAAGAAGAGGAGAAACAGTGATTATTTGGATATCTGTTAAGGATAGAGAAATGATTAAAGTATGTCTTTAATCCATCGAAAATCACAAGAACTTGTCAGCTTAAGCTATTAGCAGCCAATATTCTGTTTAGATGAGAATATAAATTTGAAGAGGGAATTAAAAATAGAAATAAATAATAATTATAAATCGAATATCAAATAAAATTTGGAAAATACAAGAATACGCGAGAATAAAACAAATTGATGAAGAGTAGTAATAGACCCGAAATGTAGTGTACAGTACATATTGGTTTAATAAAAAATCTTTCAGTAATCTTTCCAACTAAAAAACTATGGTTTGATAGTTCATAAGTAGCCATTAAAAATATTAAAAGAAATAAATAAATATAAAAAGTTTATTAAATTGATGAGATATTGATATACATAAACTAAATGTTTTATTATAGATTTTTAGAAAGTTTCTTCTTGGGAAAATTCTTAATTTCTCCAACTGCAAGATAAATTATCTTACTTTTAGAATATTCGCACTTGACAAATTCCGTCATAAATAATATCAAAACTAGATAAAAATATAATAAAATACGTATAAAAGATCGTCATCACTTACAATAACGCTCCTCTCATCTTCCAAGAAATTACATTAAAAGTAATTAATTGTATACTTTCGCTTAATCATATTTGATATTTCGATTTTAATGTTATGTTTTAATTACAGGAAAGAATGATGCGATCGACTGCATTTGCTTTACTTTTGATTGTATTATTCGGAATATTTTTTGAAGCAGATGCCGGTTTGTGTAGTTGGATTTGCAAGAAAGTTTGCACTTCAGAAAAATATTGTCGGTTTGTTTGCAAAGTCCTCTGCACTGATCCAGATTCTACGTAAGTAACATTATTAGAATTTAGTCTAATAATAGAATATTGTAACATTGATTTATTTTTGACATTTGCAGGACGACTTTTACTTTTCCCTCTCATTGAAGACTAACAAGAACTATCGTAACATGAACTAATAAAGTATTTTTAAAATCTTTAATTTGTTTATTATTTTAGTTTTGCTAATAATTTGTATTCGTAACGATAAAATATTCTAACATAGAATTATGACAATTAATGTAGCAGTACTGTAACTTGATTTTTGACATGAGCCGATAATATACAAATACAGTAGAGCGTCGATTTTCCGAATCAATTGGGGACTGGGGTTGTCCGGATAACTGATATTTCGGATAACTGGTTTACGTACGAAAAAATAGTTTAACGTATCCGATGTCGAAATTTTTCTCCGTTGCGTGTCGCTTCACGTTTAATTTTCGTCGATGTTAAGCCTAACAAAGACTATTGTATCGTTAAAAATTATTTTTTTATTTTGTACAAACAAAATAAATATATTGAAAAATATAAAAATAATAAAAAAAATTATACTTCAGATGTTAATTTAGTATCAAAAACGTAAAATATTTGAGTAGCCCAAGACATAGCCAAAGATTGAAGCGCCACAGCACTGGCGAAAATTTAAATTTGCCGACTGGAATTCTTTCGGATGATTGACGTTTCGGATGATTGACTTTCGGAAAATCGACTCTCTACTGTAATTTTAATTTCGCATCACAACGGGCTGGCAGCGTAGAGATTTCAGGGTTTTATTTTTGTATCTAAACACCTGAATAGACGTTTTCCATAGACAATCCTTAAGAGAGAGACACGTCTTCCTTGACATATCTCCTACGTGTTGCGTTTCTTTATCCTATCAATCCTATATTCCTGTAGACACTAATCCTCGTTTTAAGCCCATCCGAGAGTAATAATATGAGCGACTGGATAGTGAGAGAAATGAACCGGCACATCATCCATTTCTCTTTTTGGTTATTTTTTTTATCTAATATAAAAATTCAACGGCTTTTCCTGAATTTCTTTCGTTAAGTCTGTAGAAAATAATATGTAATTCTGTAAATTTATTCATATTAACGTGGGTGCCTTCAAGATATCATATTCTTGCAAGATGGTCCACCAACCCACGTCACTCGCTCTGTTTGACGTGTGTTAAGGCGAGCTTTCACAGATGAATGGGTGATCAGATGTTACTTCCAGTGCCGTAACTAGGCAGGTGCAACAGGTGCACTTGCACAGGGCCCACTTGGAAGGGATCCCAAAATGCATGTATTTGTTTTATTATTTTCCCAAACCTAATTAATTAAGAGGCCTAAATGCAAATTCTTGCACAGGGTTAGTTACGGCACTGGTTACTTTCAACAACTGTCGTCCCTCGTTCACCCGATCTCACCCCATGTGAGTTCTAGTTACGGGGTTTCTTGAAGGACCAAGTCTATCGTGAAAGATGTGTAAACAAAATCATTTCTTCCGTGTTCCTAGCGATAAGATTGAAGCGTGGATGTAGTGCATTCTACGAGACAAGATGCTAAACAAGTAAATGTTACGTTTGTGACGTACATTTTACAAGTAGATTTATTTTAAAAACCTACTCCCGTGTTATAAATGGAGAGAAAGTAGAAATTCCACGATATCACAAGGCATAAATGCCAGATGCGTATCCATTAAAGCGGCCAAGTGGTTCCGTTCTCTGAACACTAGGAGTTTAACTAGAAATAAAGAGCCAGCTAGGAAGAGCTCTCGAAAACACAAAACCAGTTGCTTGTCTAATCTTAAAGGAAGGTGGAACAGATAGATAGATAGATAGAAAAGCTTTATTTGTATCTTATAGCTTCAAACAGCAACATTAAACTATCATCACATTGAAGACAAGCTATGTAGAATAATTGCACTGTAGCTATTAACTATGTCTTTTTATTAGGATGTAAGCATTTTTTATTGTATACATAATCATGGTTTTGTTGAGCAGTAAATATAAAAAATCTTAACTATCTCTGTGTGGCCCATCTTCCCTTATAATCACTTTAAGATTAGTTGTCTAATATTTTCTTTATTAAAGTGGGTGAACAAATCTGCTCCTCCCTCACACAGATTAACATCCATACATACAGAAAGAAACCCTATTTTTTGTATTTCTCGACGTTTCAAAGTCCCTAAGTCAAAAATGTAAAAATATTGTGCGATCATCGCCATACTTCTTTAGAATAAAAAAAAACTAACAAATGAAAATCATGTAATACTTTCCCGGCACTTTTATGTGTACGGTCGTACTTGATGACGATTATACTCGTTATTAGCAATTATAATTTTTTTATAAAACCCATTCGTACTCTTAAAATTAAGCTTTTTCTCATTTTATAATAATTAAAAATATAAAAAATTTAATAATAAAATATCATAACAGATGACGCCACACACGGAGTTTTAAATGTTGTATATTAAGTTAAGCGACTCTTTGCTGAATATAGCAAAGAGTCGCTTAACTTAATATACACTAATATCCTGGGCATTCCATACAGACTGGACTTACAACGACCTCATCGACAAATACAAAGAACTCACATCTGCTTCCAACAAAACAACCGCAATCCAGGACAACAAAGACCTAACCCAACGTGGTGGAATAAAGAGTGCCGACAAAAATTAGCAAGAAAAAAAAAGTAAAAAAGACAAGCATACCACCGCTTCTACAGACATACAAACCACGAAAACTGGATACATGCCAAAGAAGCGACAATAGAACTACAATACACCATAATTACAATGACCATACGTCCTTTATTTAAGAGGACAGTCCTTTATTTCACTGCTCTCTCCTTTAGCTTTATTTATTTTATAAAATAGGCATTTTGTCCTTTATTTTGTAAAGTTGAAGCAAAGTTTAAAAAAAAATTTTTAATAATATATTGAACAAGTTAGTTTTGTGTACGCCATCACGATCTGTGTTGCATTGCTACATAGAGCGCAGTAGTGCAGTGTGTCTCCAACCAAACGGCCCACTGACAGTACCAGGGGGTGGACCAGTGTTGCCGCAATGAAATTTCAAAACGTACTGAAGCGCCTTCAAAAAATGTACTATTTTCCTTCAAAATGTACTAGTTCTATAAATACTTTGTTTACGTGCCTATATATATATATAGGCACGTAATATATATATATTTTATTGTCAAATAATTTAATTTAAAATTTTATTTTTGGAATTTTTTGAAAGCTATTTATAAATGTCTACACATCTATTAATTATTATAAAATGATTACATTGACAACATTTATTAATAATACTATTGAATTTCATCTTAATTTTATAACCAATCGTGCTTTAAAAAAATAATTATAAATTTGTTATATTATATTATTTTTTTCTTTATTATA